GTTATCAACTACGTTACATATATTTACTTCCTATAACACTTTTTTTACTTTCGTCTCACAGTTCTAAATCTAGTCTGCATTTGCTTTGACGTCTTGTTATAACCTTTTTCGTTCATGGGCAATTCTAAATGTTTGAAAATGTCATCTGCCCGAAACCTTTTTCCATCTAAAGTTTTCATTACTTGCCGTTCTTTTATTAATTTGAGAAAATATCTCGTTTCTTCGGTTTCCCAACTTTCACGCTTTTTCGTTTCCATTTCTTTCAATTTCTTTATCTTTTTTCGAAACGCAGCCTGTATACACACATTGAAAACTGAATAACCAACTCTACACAATAGAGTTAAAATATTTAATTTATTAAAATATTTATTTAATTTTTAGTTTGGTATTTTAAGTTCTCTCTCTCTCTCTCTCTCCCTCCCTCTCCCCCCTCTCTCTCTCTCTTTGGTTACAGACCTACTACTATTGGCACTTTTACCATGATATTTTAGGTTGGCATTATCGTTATTGTTGCACTGCGCCCGTTTACACGTCCTTTTTACGTCGATGTAATAACCCTAAGCCACTTCACGAAACGACTTTGAGTTACTACATCGATGTAGTAACTTCGTCGTAAAGGAACATTTACACGGCATCTAACATCAGTAGTTATAACATCGATGTTATAACTTCGGCGTAACTCAGGCCGTGTAAACGTAGTCTATGTATTGGGAGTACAAATTAGTTCGGTCCGTTTTCAAAAGATGGCTTTGGCTGTTATGAATGTTTCATAGTGACAGCTGATTTCGGTGGTTTCAGAGAGGTTAGACATCTGTCAATAATATTCAGTTTATATCGCTTTGAGTTTCATACCCCTGTTTTTTACTGTGTTGAATATGTTAAATTTTGTGTTAACTAAGCAGCATTTGCGGGAGGTTTTAGTTTTATGCTTTAATTGGAAGAAAAGTGCAGCTGAAGCGCATCGAATGCTTGTAGAAGTTTATGGTGACAATGCTCCAACTGATAAATCATGTAGGGAATGGTTTCAACGTTTCAAGAATGGTGATTTCAGCGTTGAAGACAAGCCTCGTTCTGGATAGCCAAAAAAATTTGAAGACAGAATTGGAGGCATTACTCGATGAAGATCCGAGTCAAGAGTCGGTATAGGCAGGAGCGGTGCACTTGGACACGGTGCATTTGGACACAGCCAATCACAGCACCGTGTGATTAAAGACATTTGTAGGGTCCCTTGGAACAGCAATTTGTGATTGTACTGTGTCCAATTGCCCCGTGTCCAATTGATATACACCCGGTATAGGCTACAATTGATTTGTTTGAGCCGTGCATTACGAGAAAAACGGCCGGAATACGAGCAAAGACATGACAAAGTTATTCTTTATTATTAGTTATTCTTTATTATTCTGCATGATAACGCTCGGCCTTATGTCATAAAAGTCGTAAAAAATTATTTGGAAACGCTCAAGTGGGATACTTTATCGCACCCGCCGTATTCGCATTGCTCCTTCTGATTACTGGTTGTTCCGACGGATGCAGCACGATTTGGCAGGACACCGGTTCACTTCTTTCGCAGAAATAAAAAATTGGCTCCTAACTTGGATCGCCTCAAAAGACGAGACATTTTTTCGAGATGGAATTCGAAAATTGCCTGAGAGGTAGGAAAAAGTATTAGCCAGCGATGGACAATACTTTGATTAATCTGTTCATTCATTTTGTTCTGAAATAAATGCATTTTTGACCACAAAAAAAACGGACCGAACTAATTTGTACTCCCAATACAATAAGGCCTGTTTTGAATTTTGATATTTTTTTGCAGCTCTTTTGGTAAAAATATTTATTTTGACTCCAACATTGATAATTAATCGGGGAAGTCCGAAAAATATGCAAGTTATATATTGTTCTAATTTTTTCTTTTATTTTTTTTACTTGTTAAACGTTGCCGCTTTCCCACAATTTAAACAAGTTACTGATCTTTTAATCATATTATGTAACTATAATATAAGGTGTAGTAAAAAGAAATCCATTATTTTTGCATGAAATTGAAGGCTTTATTTAGCATAGTTAGAATGATCCAATTTAGGTCAAATATGCATCGTTTTGTTCGATAACTTGTTGCCATTTTAAAGGTAATTCCATTATGCCTCTCTCATAGAAACCCTTGTCCCTATTGGCAAAAAACTGGGACAGTCGATTTTCACAAGCTTCTCTTGAGGCGAATTTTTCACCAGCAAAATCATTCGCCATAGACAGGAACAGGTGGTAATCACTTGGTGCCAGGTCCGGACTATAAGGTGGATGCATAAGAACCTCCCAACCAAGTTCCCGGAGCTTCTGGGGAGTCACTATCGATGTGTGTGGCCTGGCGTTGTCCTGATGGAACACAATTCCTCTCCTATTGGCCAAAGCTGGCAGCTTCTGGGCGATTGATTCCTTCAGACGGTCCAATTTTTGACAGTACAGGTCCGAATTAAGAGTTTGGCCGTAGGGGAGCGGCTCATAGTGGATGATTCCCTGCCAATACCACG